TTTTTTTTTTGGTACAAGGGATTGAACTTGGGTCCTTGGGCTTGCGAGGCGGGCCACGGAACTGCTGAGCTAAATCCCCAGCCCTTGATTCCTAAGAACTTTTCAATAGTGACACCCCACGAGTACATGTTTATTTGTCCTTCTCTGCTATTGGGATACAGGAGACCCTAGTGGTCAGGTCTAGGACACCCACCCAGAGAGGATGATGCTGGTGGAGTTCCAGGGAGCCCAGGCCCAGCCATCTCATGAAAATGTTCTTGCCCTGCTAACTTGAGGACGCTCAAAACGGCCACAGGGTGGCCAACCACTGTACCTTTCTGGTCCCAGAATCTGGTGCCTTGGGTCCAAAGAATTCTCGAGGTGTCCTGATGTCCCTGGGGCAGAAGGCAGTAGTAAGACAGGGGTCTGACTCATTCCCATCAGCGGGTCCAACTGAACCCCGAGGAGTTTCCAGACAGATTCCTTAGCTCAGGGTCCGAGAGGTGCCCACCTTTTACACGCTTTTGCTTCCAGGCTCCTATTCTTACCCACATCTCTTCTTTGGGCCCCCAAAATACTGTCACTTCATGATGTCCTGGCCAGCTACACCCCCAAATTAAGGAAATTCTTCAGAGAGGGGCAGAAATGTGATGGTTACAATACAAAACTATAGCAAAGACTGCTAGTCCCTGGAATTGTGTTGACCTGAGGGCCCCCCTGGCAGAGCTCCAGAGGCAGGCAGGAGTGTGTCAAGTGTCCTGCTTGGGGGCATGGCTCGGAGCCTGACTCCCTGGCGTGCACGTGGCTGTACCACTTGCCAGCTGTACAGTCTCCTCGGGAAGTTACTGAATTTCTTGGAACCTCAGTCTCTTCATCTGTACACTAGGGATGACCAGATTGAGTTCCCCTGATGTTTGGAGGGGTCCAAAAGAAAGTATAGGTTATTGAATGTGAAAAGCACCCTCTGAATGTTGGCTGTTGTTACCTAAAGGAGGAAGGCAAGGGACCTTGGGCCAGCTTCTTTATTAATGTCTTTTCTGGAAGGAGTTAAGTGGCTAATGCTACCTGCTCCCAACTCCCAATTCCTAGGCACTAGGTGGTGGCCTGGGCAGCTAGGCAGAGGGAAAGCAGGAAGGAAGGAATGGGGGCCCTGGTGCATTCACAGAGATTCTGAATCTTTTTTTTTTTTTTTTTTTTTTTGGTACCAGGGATCGAACTAGGGTCCTTGTGCTTGTGAGGCAGATGGCAGCACCACTGAGCCAAATCCCCGGCTCACAGAGATTCTGATCTGACCGATTCCCTCACCCCCCACCAGGTTATTCCAACGTGCATCAGATTTGAGAGCCGGATGGGAGAGCTGCTGAGCAGCACAGGCTTGAGACAGGCGGGGGAGAATTGCTGGGGAGGGGAGGGGCAATAGGACTTCCCTCCCCAGCTTGGTTTTGTTGCCCAGAACACTCTCAGCCTCTGGGAAGCCTGATGTTTCTTCCAAGTATCCCTTGTAGTCTCTGACTTCTGCAGGATTCCAAGTGCTTCCAGCTACCTGCCTGAGTGCCCGGAAAGAAGACACGGAAGAGGGCTAGCCACCTGTGTCCCCTGAGGAGCTCGTACAACTCAGGAAAAATAGGACAATGTCACGCATCTTTCAAAAAACTGAATTTCCTCAACCTACATCATATTCTTAACTAATTCGGAGCCCTAAAATCTCCTCCTCCTCTTCCTCCTTTCTTTTTTTTGCAAAATAAATGTTGACAAAAGATGCTGACGGCCCTATGTTGACTCTCACCTTTCTTCTACAAAAAATAAGTTTGAAAAAATAGGTCGGGAAATCTTCACATCTGGAAACCACTGAGCCAGATTCTCCCGTGAGGAGATTTCCACAGTGGATTCCTCTTTAAGGTGGAATAGGGGCCCCTTCCTGGGGCTCCACAGACTCTATCACAGCCACTCTTCTTCCAGTCGGGTCTGTTTGATGTCCCTGGCTGGAGGTCACACAGGTGGCTGTTCCTTCCCAGCATGCCATCGGCTTCTCATCCCACTCGCCTGGACTAAATCTTCACCTCCCACAGGGAGGCCGAGTCCTGACCTGCCCAGGGTTTAAGGTTCAGCACAAACATTGCCAGAGTCTTGAGTGGTACATTTTTTTTTTTTTTTTTTTGTTTTTTTTTTTTCAAAAGGTCCTTGCGCTTGCAAGGCAGGCAGCAGAACCATTGAGCTAAATCCCCATTGAGCTAAATCCCCAGCCTGGTACAAGATTTTGAAAAGAAGACCTTTCAAAAAAAAAATTTTTTTTTTCTGAGGTTCAATGGAGGGACAACACCCCCCCTTTTTTTTGTTTTTTTTTTGAGACAGGGTCTCACTATGTAGTTGAGACTGACCTGGAATTCACTATGTAGCCCAGGCTGGTCTGGAACTCACAGCGATCCTCCTGCCTCAGCCTCCCGAGTGCTGGGATTACAGGCGTGCGCCACCACGCCCGGCTACAATAAACCCCATCTTTAAGGTTGTATTCGGTCCTTCTAGCATGTTCATGATTTCAGGTATTAGCTGCTAGAGTAACCTTCTGACCATGAAGGCTGGACACAGAATCCTCTGACCAAGCTTCCTATCTCTTTGCAACCTGCATGTATCCTTGGACCTCATCTCATTTGCTTTTCTTTCAGCCGCTCCCTCTGGGGCAAGGTTGCCCGGAAGCATGAGGTGTGCAGGTGCTCAGAGCTAGGCTGGGAAAAGCCGGTGGAGCGGCTTCCACAGGAGGCTGGGGGTGTTTTGACTTGGGGATGGCTTGGTCTTCCTGCTGGAAGTTTTAAAGTGAAGTCATTTTGAGGCTTCCTTAGTAACTGGAACCTTCACCTGCCAGAGGCAGTGCCTTAGTTTTTTGTTGTTGTTGCTTCTGAGACAAAATATCTCACACCCCAAGTTGAAGGAGGAAAGGTTTATTTAGCTCAGTTTGTAGAGGTCTTAATTTATAACCTGCTGGCTCCAAGGCTAGGTGGCATGGCAGGACAGCATTGCAAAGGACAAACAGTTGATGGTGGGCAGAAGGTAGCAAAGCAACAAGAGAGGGACTTCGACAGCCTCCTTTGGCCCCTCATATCTTATCTAGACTACTTGGGGCGGGCGGCACTCACGCCCTCAGTCCTAGTGCCCTTGAGCCTAGCACTGCACCATGAATCGGTTCCAGGATCACACACTGTGGATCCCGTCACCTCTGAAAGAGCCCCACCTAGGACTGCCAGAGGCTTTGGGGGACATCTAGACCCAGCCATAACAGGCAGGCTCTCAGGTTTCTCCCTGGGGGACACAGAGGAAGGACAGGTGCTCAGGGCAAGCAGATGGGAGAAGGTGTAGGTGGGACCTGGAAAGACCCAGACCTGGCCTGGATTCCCCCCACTCCTCTCTTCCTGGCATGGCGTCGGGATGGGGCTTTTTCAGAACAGAGTAGGGCAAGTAGGCCCAGAGAAGAGGGAGGTGGACAAGGCAGAGTCCAGAATGAGCAGGAAAGGCAAACTGAGTACTTTTGCCAGGATCTTGCTTGAGGGTCCTGGCAAAGTTGGAACCTGGGCAGTTTGGTCCCTGACCAAGTAGAGCCCAGAAAAAAATAAAATAAAAAGTGACATTATGGAGAGCTCACAAATCCCAAGGAACTGTTGTTATCCAACCCAGAGACCCAGCCAGATTTCGACAATAGAAAGTGTTGCTGGGGCCGGGGATTTAGCTCAGTGGTGCCCGCCTCGCCAAGCACAAGGACCCAAGTTCGATCCCCGGCACAAAAAAAAAAAAAAGTTGCTGTCAGGTTTGGAAGGAATTTAACTAACAAAGGTGTCCGGGCTCAGGTCTCCCTCTTGGACTCACGCAGAGGCCCTGGCGTCCCCGCAGGCAGAAAGTCAGCGCTAGGTGGGGACTTGGGACAAAGGGCGACGGCGCGGGTGCATTGTGAGTCACCGCAGAGGGACGCACGGGCGGGCGGGCTGAAGGCTGCGGGCGCCCTCCCCGCTCGCCCCCTGCGCCCTCGGATCAGCTCCCTGCAGACCCTACCTGGCTCTGGACCAGGACTCCGAGAACGACTCCACCGACGAGGAGTACAGGGCGAGGAGGATCCCCGAGCAGGCAGCGACGATCAGGAGGAGCAGCCGGAGGAGCCGGC